ATCTGCAGGTATTTTAAATAGAATTTCTCTATTTCTTCCTCCTGGATTTTGTTAGTATTATACATCAATGCTGGTGATTTGTATGGGTTTATTTTTAAAATATCCTGCAACTTTGCTGAAGTTGTTGTTTCATTTCATTTTTTATTTGACTCTGGGGTTTCTAAGTAAACCATCATGTCATCTTCAAAAAGTATAATTTTGTTTCCCCATTGCTTATTCTCTCATTCTCTCAATGTCTTTTTTCCTTATTGACATGACTATCATTTCCAGCACTGTGTTGAATGCTAACGGTGACAATGGGCATCCTGGCTTTCCCCTCATCTTCCTGGAAGGGCCTTTTTTCCACATTATCCACGTTATGTGTGACATTGGATCTTGGTTTCAGATAGTTACTAATTACCATATTAAAGAAAGCTCCATTTTCCCCCTTAGTCTTTCTAGTGTGTTTTTTTTTTCTAAACAGGAATGGCTGTTTATCTTGTCAAAAGCTTTTTCTACATCTTTTTATTTAATTCTGTGATCTTTGTTTTGTATGTTATTAATATAGTCAATTCTGTCTATATGTTTCCTGAAGTTGAACAAGATCGCATTCCTCGTATGATATAGTCTGGTCAGAGTGTATGATCTTGGTGATATGTCACTGTGGTCTTTACAGTAGTAGTTTTATTTGAAAAGCTTACATCAATGTTAAATAGGGATATTGGTCCACACTTTTTTTCTTTGATTTGATTCTCCCTGGTTTAGTTATTAAGAATATATTTGTGTCCAAGAAGGAATTTGGTAAGACTCCTCCTTTTCCTATTTTTCCAAACAGCGTATGTAGTCTTCAAATTGTTCTTTAAATGTTTGATTCATTCGCTTACAAATCCATCTCGTCCTGGCATTTTTTCTTTAGGAATTCATTTATTGCTTGTTCAGTTCCTTTTCTAATATAGGGTTATTTAAATATTCTAATTACTGTTCTATTAATCTGGACAATTTATTTTTGTAAATATTCATCCATTTCATTTAGATTGCAAGTTTTATTGGCACATGTATGTATGTAAATAGATGAAATAGCTCAATCATTTTTTACATTTCTCCTTCCTTGGTTGTGAATTCACCTTTTTAATTTTTGATACTGTTAATTTGGTTTTCTTCTTTTTTAAATCAAGTTAGCTAATAGCTTATCTGGTTTATTGGGGTTTTTTTTCTTTCTAAAAAAAGGTCGTTTCATTTATTATTCAAACTTTTTGTTTATTTTTGCTTTCAATCTTGTTAATCTTTGATTTGATTCAGGGCTTCTATTTTGGTATTTAATTGAGGGGATTAATTTGTTGATTTTCTAGGTTTTTTTAGTTGCATGCCCAATTTGTTGGTCTATTCTTTCCCTCTTTTTACAAATAAAAGTGTGTAGAGATGTGAATCTTCCTCTAAGTACTGCTTTGTCAGCATCCCCCAAATTTTGGCATGTTTTCTTGTTGTCATTATCTTTAATGAAATTAGTTTTTATGATTTGTTCTTTGATCCACCCATTCTTTAGGATTAGTTTCCAATTACTTTTAATCTTTGATTCAAAAACCTCTTATAGAATATAATTTTTATTGCTTTTACTTCTGCTTTTATGCATTTGCTTGTGAGGTTTATGCCCTCAGTCAGTTTTTTTTTTGAAGGTGCCATGAACAACTGAGAAATAGATATGCTCCTTTATATTCCCATTTAGTATTCCTCAGAGATCTGCCATATCTAAATTTTCTAAAAAATTCTATTCAGGCCTTTTTGTTGTTGTTAGGTTTATGTAGATCTGAGGTCCTTTCATTCTAGTCTTACTATATATTTCTCTCTATAACTCCTTTAACTTTTCTTTTAAGAATTTAGCCATTTGGTGAATGTATGTTTAGTACTGATATCATTGTCTTATGGTACCCTTCAGCAAAACGCAGTCTTTGAATTAGGTCTGTTTTTGCTGTCACGTTGTTTGATATCATCCTTGCTGCTCCTGGCCTTTTTTATTTCAGTTAAAGCTTAATAGACTGTACTCTTGTCCCTCATTTTCATTCTGTATTTATCCTTCTGTTTCAAGTGTGTTTCTTGTAAACCACATATTGTTGGATTCTGGTTTCTAATCCACTCTGCTGTGCTCTTGTGTTTTATGGGTGAATTCATCCTATTCATGTTCACAGTTACTAATTATATATTTCCTTCCCTCCTATTCTCTTGTAGTTTTTTTCTTGCTTCTCTTTTTTCTTTGTTTTTTTCCCATATGCTTTTGAGTTTAAAATTTTTCTCCTCCTTCCTCCCCCCCACCCTCCCCAAGATGGCTCACAATCTGACATAGGCTTTACATTTACATACCCATTAAACATATTTTCACATTAGTGAAGTTGTAAGTAAAAGTTAAAACCAACAGGAGGAACCACCAGAAAGAGGAAACAAAACTCAAGAAAAGAGAAAAAAAATGATAGCGATTCAACTTCCATAGTTCTTTCTTTGGATATGGACAGCATTTTCCATCCTGAGGCCTGTGGAGATGTCTTAGATCCTCATAATGCTGAGAAGGGTTCAGCTTAACAATCTTAGTCATTGCATAAAGTGGCTGTTATTGTGTACAAAGTCCTCTTGGTTCTGTTCACTTCACTCAGCATCAGACCATACAAATCTTTCCAGGTTTTTCTGAAGTCAGCCTGTTCATCATTTCCTATAGCACAATAGTATTCCATTACATTCATATACCACAACTTGCTCAGCCATTCCCTAATTGATGGGCATCCTCTCAATTTCCAATTCTTTGCCACCACAAAAAGAGCTGCTATGAATATTTTTGTACATGTGGGTCCTTTTCCCATTTGTTTGATCTCTTTGGGATATAGCCTTAGGAGTGCTATTGCTGGATCAAAGGGTATGCACATTTTTGTAGCCCTTTGGGCATAGTTCCAAATTGTTTTCCAAAATGGTTGGATCATTTCACAACTCCACCAGCAATGTATTAGTGTTCCAATTTTCCCACATCCTCTCCAACATTTATCATTTTCTTGTTTTGTTGTGTTGGCCAATCTGATAGGTGTGATGTGGTACCTCAGAGTTGTTTTGATTTCTTGCTTCTCTCTTTTAAGAGTTTGTTTTGCTTCCAAAAATCTTTCCCTTAATCAGCCCTCCCTCTTATTGCTTACCCCCCCTTTTCCTAGACCTCTTTCCCTACTATTTCCTCTGCTGAGAAATCAGGGGAAGAGGAAGGTTTCTAAGTTGGAATAGCTGCTGTGAGTGAATTAGGGAGGTATAGAAAAATTGACTTGCATTATTGAGGGCCTAGTTGAGAATCTGTAAGATAAACTTGTAGTATCCCAAGGCAGCATAGTTTTATGCAGGTGTGAAAGCAGTGGAGGGTGGGAGTAATTTTTTAATACCATTAAATATTTTTTTCCCAATTATATGTAAAGATAACTGTTGACATTGTTTCAAATAAAATTTTGAGCTCCAAGTTTTCTCCCTCCCTTCCTTTCCTGCCCCATCCCTAAGATGGTAAGTGGTTTGAGACAGGTTTATATATATATACATGTATATGTATATATATATATATATATATATATATATACATGTATATGTATATATATATATATATATGTATGTGTGTATATATATGTGTGTATGTATATATGTATGTACACACAATCATGTAAAAACACATGTCCACATTAGTCATGTTGTGAAAGAAGAAACAGACCAAAAGGGGAAAAAAAAGAAAACACAAAAAATAAAGATGATGAAAATAGCATGCTTTCATCCACATTCAGACCATCGGTTCTTTCTTTGGATGTGGGTAGCATTTTCCATCATAAATCCTTTGGAATTGCCTTGCTGAGAAGAGCCAAGTCAATCACAGCGACCATGGCACAATGTTGCTGTTACTGTGTACGATGTTCTCCTGGTTCTGCACACCTCACTTTGCATCAGTTCACACAAGTCTTTCCAGGTTTTTTCTGAGAGCATCCTGCTCATCATTTCTTATAGCACAGTAGTATTACATTCCTATACCATAGCTTGTTCAGCCATTCCCCAATGGATGGGCATCCCTCGATTTCTATTTCATTGATACCAAAGAGCTGCTATAAATATTTTTTGTCCATGTGGGTCTTTTCCCCATTTTTATGATCTCTTTGGGATATAGACCTAGCAGTTGTATTGCTGGATCAAAGGGCATGCACAGTTCTCTAGCCCTTTGGGCACAGTTCCAAATTGCTCTCCAGAATGGCTGACAGTTCACAACTCTGCCAACAGTGCATTAGTGTCCCAGTTTTTGGTGGGAGTAATCTAAGGCTAGAGTGAATTTGGCATGGCAGGATCAGAGAGAGGGTAAGTGGGCAAGGGGCTTGAGAGAAGACAGTGTGAGCTGAGCTGGTTTCCCCAGGAAGGGAGAAAGGCAGGAGGGAACACGGAACAGGGTCTGGGCTTACAAGGCAGAGGCAGAGGTGGAATGACAACCTATTATTATCAGATGAAGCCATTTCAGAGCTCCTGAGCACGGACATGCATGCTGAAGTCCCCTAATGTGAGGAGGGAACGCCCCAGGGACCGGGCATGGAGGAAGGAAGGGCTGGACAGGGGCTGCTGGAATCCTGACTGGGAGAGAGGTGACTGAGTGATGGGGTTAGAGGGAGAGCCTGGAAGTGCTGACAGACAGCAAGGAGCAGGAAGATGCCCCACTGCTGACCAGTGAGTTCAGGAGGAGTGAGTGAAAGGGCAGTCAGAGTGTGGGGCACTAGAAGAATCTGACTGATTTTGTCCTGGAGGAGTGACCTGGTCATGATTGGAGAGGGGAGGGGGGGGAAGGTGAGGAGACCCGGTGGGAGGCTGTTGGCATCATCCCAGCAGGGGGGAAGGAGCCCCAAGGAGTGCTGGTCATGGAGAACGAAGAGCAGGGCCGGAGACATGGCGGTCCACTCAGACACTTGATGAGATGGGGCACCAGAGGGCTTCTGCCGAGAGCCCCACCCTTCCCCGCTGACATGCCCACTTGCCCATAGGTGGTGCCCCTCTTGGCCATTGTGAGCATTCCATCCCTGCAGCTCTCCACCAGCTGGGTGGACTTTGGCACCTGCTTTGTGAATGAGACGTACACCCGAGAGGTCACCCTGCTGAACCAGAGTTCCTGCCGAAGCCACTGGATAGCTCTGACCGGTAAGACCCCAAGCCCTCGCCTGAAGCCGACCCAGAGGGGGAAAACCCCACATGCAAGGGAAGGTGCCTGGCTAGGTCCCTGGCCACCAGGTAGGCACACTCCATGGGGGGCGAAGGCAGATGGGATGTGGCTGCCCCATGGGAATGCCACCTCCTCCCTCCTGCCCCTCCCTCAGGCCTCTCCTTGGTTTCTCTGAACCACAGACAAGCAGGAGAGGCACAACGTCATCTTTCAAGTCTACCCAACCAGTGGCGTACTGGAAGCTCGGAAAGTCAACTCCCCACCAACCTCCATGAGCTTGTATATCCACTTTACTGCCAGGTAGGCTGCAGGCCCATTCCTTGTGGGGAGGGGGAAAGGGCAGCCTGGGCTTCTCTCCAGGCCTTGCTAGCACTGGGGTTTCCCCGGAAGGCATTTCTCCTGCAGATTTCCCCAACCTCAGCATGACTAGAGCCCCGTTCCCTGCTCAGGGTCAGACTTCTGACACTGAGGGCACAGGCCTGGGGTGGCCCAGGGTCTCTCCTGCTAGCCCGTGCCTCCTGGTGATGGGCCATCCCCTTTCGTGGCAGTGACAGCTGCGAGTATGAAGCAGTCGTGACGGTGGACGACATTCTGGGAGAGGCCTGCATCTTGCATGTGCGTGGGCAAGGCTCCTACAATGAGAAGTACTAGATGCTGGTGGCCTGGCATGGCCTTGGTCCCGTGAGCAGGACAGGTGTGGCAATGAGCACCACTTTAATAAATGCAGAGCTTGCCTGACCTGCCCTTCTCTTCCTCCGTGGGGGCAGGGCTGGGGGTGTGGAGGCCCAGGCAGTCTCCTGCCTGGGGCGGGGAAGGCAGTGCCAGGGAAGGCTGGGCGTCAGCTCAAGGGAGTGCTAGGTAAGTGCCTTTTTACAAAGACAATCTCATGGGATTCTCACAACCCATAAGGTCAGTGTTACAATGACCCCCATTCTACAGATGAGGAAACATAGGCAAACAGGTGCAGAGACTTGGCCAGGTCACAGGCCAGATCTGCACTAGGTCTTCCACCTAGCTGCCTTGGGGTGGGGGGAGCTCACTCCTTCCCCATGGCCTAGGGGCATCCTCAGGTCCACACCCCTAGAGAAGAGTCCTGGAAATTAGTCATGAGGGTTTATTGTTCTGATTAAAGAGATTTTAGAGACAGCCTGACCCCAACCCCTGGAAGCCCCCTTCCCTGCTCACCCCAGCCCAGTTGGCTCCTGGCCAGAAACCCTCAGCTAGCTAGGAGGAACAGAGGGGAAAGCCTGGACCAAGCCACAGGCCACTGAACAGGCCATGCTGCTGGCCATCATTTTAGTTATTTATGCAAGAGAACATTTCTTTGAAAAAGGCACAAGAGCCGGGGGGCTGCTGGTGCACCCCCTGAGGAAACAGCAGCTGCTCCCAGCAAGGAAGGAAGGGAGGGAAGAGAGAGATGGGAGGGCTGCCTAAGCCCCCTCCAGAAGCAGCCCCCCCCCACCCCCGCAGGGCCTCTGCCCTGGCTCCCCAGGGCTCTGAGTGCGCCCCCAGGGCCTCCTCCCTCACCCAGGGCTGAGGCCTCAGGGTCCCGGGTACTCAAAGACAGCAGCAGCTCCCATCCCAGTACCAATGCACATGGACACCACGCCATAAGCCCTGTGCCGGGAGAGGGAAAGGGGATTAGCAGGGCCTAGCCAGCCAGGTCAGACTGTCCCCTACGTGGGACTGGGCTGGGAAAGGCCCAGACAGCGGCCCCTCCCTCCAGGATGCCCTGGAGCTTGGTTCCTTGGCAAGCCCCCACATAAGCCCAGCCCCGGGGCCACAGCTGGACCTCCCAGCAGGCGGGGTGTCTCACCTCTTCCCCCTGCGCTTCAGCTCATTGAGCAGTGTGATGACCTGGCGGGCCCCTGTGCATCCCAGCGGGTGCCCCAAGGCAATGGCTCCCCCGAGGATTCACTTTCTCCAGGGGAATCCCCAGCTTCTCTACACAATAAGTAGCCTGGAAAGAGAAGAAGGGCAGGCCTGAGGCTCCCATGTCCTTCCCCTGGCATGGAGGGCAGCCTCCTTACCCCCCCAGTACGGGAGGGCCTTCCCGCTAATGGCCAGAGCGGCTGTCTGGGTCGCGGGCCTGCTGTGATGGACACGTCTCCTTGGATGGGCATGGTCGAGGCTGAGGTTGAGGAGTCATCAATAAATAGTAGAAATATTTTGCCCCAAAACCAATGGAAGTTCTCCGAGCCCAGGGACGGTTTCATTCACAGTCTGTGTCCTCTGCAGTGAGCCCAGCATACAGCTGGTGCTTGATAAATGATTACTGACTGCCGTGCTGATTCCGCACTTCCTGGCCAAACCAGCAGAGAGAGGCCCCTGAACCTGTGATTTCATGGGTGAGGAAACTCCCAGGTGAGGACTTGCCCTCTACTGATGTAGGTTGGCACTGGCTCTGTCCCTCCCCAATGCCCACAGTCACTAGGTGGCAGAGGAGGGCTTGAACCCAGGTCTTGATTTCAAGCCAGCCCTCTGTTCCCTGTGCCATTGTCACTTTACCCCAACATCATCTTAGAAACAGTGGAAATTCCTAACATGGGGTCTGGCCCTGTGGGGAGAAAAATGAGTGTCCACGGACACCGAAGGGTAGGCATGGGAGGGCAGTAGAGTCAACAGGGCTGCTCACCTGACTGGCAAAGGCCTCGTTGATCTCAAAGATATCCACGTCCTTCACGGTTAGCCCTTCAGGAGGGCGGCAGGGGATGCCAAGGAAACGACCCGTTAGCAAGTCTATGGACAATGCCCAGCCCCCTCCCCTGGCCAGCCCCAGGGGTGCTTGGCCTGGGGCCCCCCACCCCCAAACCCAGGTGGCCATCTTCCTTAGTCTCCCAGTGAGGAAACTTGCCAAGGACATGTGGGGGCTCCCCTGGCCTCACTGATGCAGTCTCCAGCCCCCCATACACCCCCTCCCCAGCTGACTGATTGATGAACAGGGTGCCCGCCAGCCTCCTGCCAGTCATCACCTGATTTCTGCAATGCCGCGGGGATGGCATAGGCGGGGCCGATGCCCATGATGTCGGGGGGCACACCCACCACGGCATAGGCCCGCAGGATGCCAAGGACAGGGAGGCCCAGCTGCTCAGCTCTGGCCCTGCGAGCCAGCAGGACGGCAGCAGCTCCATCGCTCACTTGGCTGGAGTTTCCTGGTGGAGACAGGGCTGATGAGGAGGGGCCACAGAGAGAGGTCACCCTGGCACTGCCCTGTGCCCCACGCCCTCACCGGCAGTGGTGGACCCATCTTTCCGGAAGGCTGGCTTCAACTTGGCAAGCCCTTCCAGCGTGGTGCTGGCTCGGATGCCTTCGTCCTGGGAAACGGTGACCGACTTCTCGTGACCCTTGTTGTCCTGGATGGTGGTGGTCACAGGCACAATCTCAGCCTGGAAACAGCCCTGGCTCTGGGCCCTAGCCGCCCTGTTGGCACCAAGGGAACAAACGCTTTGAGAGCCCGTCCCCAGCGCGAAACCAGGCGGAGCTGGCTGGGGAGCTCAGAATCGTCCCAAAGATGGTCAACGGGAAGGAGAGCTGCAGGGGCCCCTTGGGGCATCCCCACGCACCAGTCGAGGGGGAGGGCCCACTCTGGGCCCCGAGAGCTATAGACTGAGCCGTCCCTGTCCTCAAGGCCGAGTGTCAGCTGGCCAGGGCGTGGGGCCTAAGAGAGCCGCCGAGTGGGCAGAGAAAGGGGATGTCCACAGGCTGCTACCGCCAAGCTGGAACGGGAGGGGACGAGAGGCTTCCCCAGCACCCCCTCCATGCCCCTCAGTTTTTAGGGCTCCAGGCTCCAAAGTACGGAAGGTTCCCATGAAGGCCACGGATAAAGCCACAGACAAAGGCCCAGGAGGGATCCGAGGAAGCTTGGGCCACAGGAGAAGCCACGGAGGATAGACAGACAGCTCACCAAGCACTTGGAGGGGGCCACAGGAGGTTGGACAAAGTGCAGAAGGAAGGTCCACAACGGAGGCAGGAAGACCAGTTAGAGTGCGAGGTGAGGGGAGACCGGCCACAATCCCATCTACCAAGCAGCACATGGGCCCTGGTTGTGGCCACAGAACAGCAGGGGAAGGGATATCAAACAAGTCTGTATTCACTGCCTACTATGTGCTAGGCCACACAGCAGGACCACAGCCCCTCTGGATCAGTGTGCTATTCTGTCCCTCCCAACTCTGGGTCCTGGGGACGCCACACAGCCCTGGGGGCGCTTCACTGAAGAGCTGCCATCTCACTGCAGAATGAAGGGCCACGAGGCCCAGAGAGGCAGCAGGGGCCAGGCACAGGCCGAGCAGTGAGCACTCAGGGCAGTCTGCACCACAAAACATATCTCCTCCTCAAGGTGCTTCCATTCTCCCAGGGCAGCCATCAAGTCAACGGAGAATTAGCAGAGGAAGAGTGAGCTAACAACCGGTGGTACCAGAGAAGGCTTTTCATAAGCAGTGGAAGCCAAATTCTGAAGAAAGCAAGGGCCCCAAGAGACTAAGGAGAGGAGAGGCAGCATTCTAGGCAGAGGCACAGCCAGGGCAAAGGTATGGAGGTGGTAGATGAAATGCTGAGTTCAATGATAAACGTTGGAGAAGATGTGGGAAAATTGGAACGCTAATGCACTGTTGGTGGAGTTATGAAATGATCCATTTTGGAGAGCAATTTGCAACTATGCCCAAAGGGCTATAAAAATGTGCATACCCTTTGATCCAGCAATAGCACTCCTAGGGCTATATCCTAAAGAGATCAAACAAATGGGAAAAGGACCCATATGTACAAAAATATTTAGAGCAGCTCTTTTTGTGGTGGCAAAGAACTAGAAATTGAGGGGATGCCCATCAATTGGGGAATGGCTGAGCAAGCTGTGGTATATGAATGTAAGGGAATACTACTGTGCTCTAAGAAATGATGAACAGGCTGACTTCAGAAAAACCTGGAAAGATTTGTATGGTCTGATGCTGAGTGAAGCGAGCAGAACCAGGAGAACGTTGTACACAGTAACAGCCACCTTGTGCGACGACTAATATTGTTGAACTGAAGCCTTCTCAGCATTACAAGGATCTAAGACATCTCCAGAGGCCTCGGGATAGAAAATGCTGCCCACATGCAAAGAAAGAACTATGGAAGTCGAATCGCTATCACTTATTTTTCTCTTTTCTTGAGTTTTGTTTCCTCTTTCTGGTGGTTCCTCCTATTGGTTCCTCCTATTGGTTCTAATTCTTACAACACCACTAATCTGAAAATATGTTTAATAGGAATGTAAATGTAGAGCCTGTATCAGATTGTGCACTGTCTTGGGGAGGGTGGTGGGGAGAAAAGGAGAGAAACATTTTAAACTCAGAAGCATATGGAAGTGATTGTTGATAAATCAAAATAAATTAATTAAAAAATAAAATAAAACAGAATCAAATGAGATAATTAAGTGTAAAGCACTCAAAAAAAATGCTGAGTTCAGAAAATCACTGTTGGACAGAAATAGGAAGTGCCTAAAGGGAAGTGATATGAAAGAAGCCTAGAAAAGTCCGCTGTGCCACACTGCAAGAGGCTGGCTCAGCATTCCGTAGTTTGTTCCAGAGGCAAGGGAGAGCCACAGTTCTTGAGTGAGAGAGCGAGGTGGTTCAGAGCAGGCCTATCATTCACAACACGTGGCTGCATTATGGAGGAGCCGGGAGGCCTGCGCTGGACTAAGGTCCTCCCAGCTCCAAGATTCTGCACAACGCCCATCACTAACCTATCAGCTGCAAGACCTCAAGGAT